AGGGATTTATCAGATTAGCTCACAGGATAGAGTCTGAGTAGTCCAACTGGCTACACCACACTGGAGAGGCTGAGAATCCAGTAGTTGTTCAGTCCACAAGGCTGGATGTCTCAGTAGTCCCAATCTGGTGCTGAAGGTCTGATGAATTCCAAGAGATCTGCTAGTCTTCAGTCTACAGCAGCAAGATGAACTCACCAGTGAGAGAGAAGGCAAGTGGCAAAAAGCAAGCCCTCTCTTCTGCCATGGCCTTTTATACAGGCTGCCATCAGAAACACCCACATTTAGGGTGTGTCTTCAAGCTTCAATGATCCAATCAAGAAGGTCTCTCTCATTTCAGTTAATCCAAGATCCAGTCAAGTTAACACCCAGGATTAGCCATCACAAGTCCACCCCTTGTCACTTGACACCCAATAGCATCTCTATGTCATGCTTAATTTTCTTTTTTTTTTAACAGAGCATAGGGTAGTGGTTTATTTACAGAAGAGTGGGTGCCCCACATTTACGGCTACACTGTAAAGTCCACACTTAAATACAGATCCTGTGACCTCCTGACAGTGCATAAAATTGTGAGAGAGGTGCCTCTTGGTGTTCTTGGCTTATATCTCCTTTGCTCCTCCCTCCACATGCAGCTAAGGTTGACTGATTGGTTGGGAGGGTAATTGATATCCCCCTTGACTCCTTGATGAGAGTGGGAAGGAGGTGTGACTATAGTTTACCATCATAGTGGTCAGAGGACATTTCCAGTTAACACTCCACCCCTTCCTTTGGCTCTTACATTTTTTTCTGCCAATCTCTTCTGCAAAAGTCCCTGAGCCTTGGAGGGGGAGGTAAGTGTGGGATGATCTTCCTCCCATTGTGAAAAGGCACTGAACTTACAGGTCTCTGCATCACCTGTTTTCCATGGGCTCCTGGCCAGTTTGAGTGGGATTTCATATACTATAAAAACACACATAGCAAGAAGCAAGAACATCTAAACAGTGTGGATCCTAGCACCAAATCCTTATAAGCGAGTGCATATCCTGATGCAACTGTAGGGACCAGGAGTATAGAAGGAAAACAGGGAGGTAAAGGGAAAGAAGGAACCTGAGAGAGAAGAATAGTAGGATTAAGGTGTTATTAAGGGAGAAATATAATAAAAAGGGGGTAGTTAAAGGGGTGGGGGAGGAGGACTATACAAAGAACTATGGGAATAAAGGGGGAAAATATCTCCAGATACACAGTTACCAAAAAAAAAAAAAAAAAAAAAAAAAAAGCCTTAAGCATAGAAGGAACCCTTCGGGGATAGAAGAAAGCCCTTCCAAAAGCAATATGGTTGTTAAATGAAAATCCTAGTGCCAGAGGTGGGTTGCCCCCTATGAGCTGTTGGCCTGAGGGACAGACACTAGAGGTCCCCAAAACAATAAAGGCCATTGCCAATAATGTTGGTTGTACACTGGAAGTGGATGGAAAAACCCTACTGCTGAAGACACTGCATGATGTGAGGACAGGCGAAGGAGAAATCAAGCTTAGACTAAGCTAGAAACTCCCTGCCACTGGATGGGTGGCTTTCATGGTGCCAAAAGGCAACACGCAGATGACTGAGGGAAAATAGTCCTCTATAATACTCCTCAAAGACTGACCCCACATGTTGCACTATCAACATACCAATCAATATGTTCCTGCTGGTGCAATAGTGGAGCACAGAGTGTATGTACAACCAGCAAATTTTTGATTGGATATAATGCCCACTCCTAAGGGTGGAACACACATCTGGTACTGTGACCTGGCCAACCCCCTGTAGGAGGGGAGAATATAGACCCCAGTGGGAAGTCACTGCAATTGCTTTGTTAGATGGAAATGATGCACCTGCTAAAGTACCAACCAAACGTTTGTGTTTACACCCATAGGTTAAGTTATTATAGCAGTCACTGTTTATATGTTCTTTTCTATTTTTTTAAAGCTTCAGAACAGTTTTATTAGCACTTAAGAGAAAAATGACAGGGCAGGAAAACTTTAAGTCTTGGTAGCTGCTGGCAAGAGGGAGATGAAGAGGAAGAAAGCCATGCCTTTTAAGTTGGGCATGGAGCTTGGCAAACAGCTGTAGAAAGGCGGAGATGGGAGATGTTTCAGAGGATCAGTGAGAAAGCCCTAAGTTTCAGAGAAAGTATGCCCAGGCTTTGGCAAGTATCTAGAAGAAAAAAAGAAAGAAGGAAAATGAAAAGCCACCACATACAGTTATCTTTTTAAAGATGAGGGTCATATAACATATGCCATTTGTATCCTGTTCCCCACATGAAATATATGTGGGCATATTCCAGTGTTATGATTCATGATGTGAAAACTGTGCTTCCATGACCTTTTAAAACTTAATTGGCTCAGTGGGTAAAAGCTAAGCCTAACAGCTGGAGTTCAATCCCTAGGACCCACATAGTGGGAAGAATCAACTCCCACAAGTTGTTCTCTGCTCCACAAACATCTCATAGGACATATGCCTCCCATACTAAAAATAAATAAACAATTTTAATTGTGTACATCAAAAAGACAGTAATTTGCCAGGCGTGGTGGTATATGCCTTTAATCCCAGCACTCGGGAGGCAGAGGCAGGTGGATCTTTGTGAGTTCAAGGCCAGCCTGGTCTACATAGTGAGTTCTAGGACAGCTGGGGCTACAGGGAGACCCTGTCTCAAAAAGACCAAAAAAAAAAAGATAGTAATTTAACTTTAAAAAATTTTTATTTTGTGAGTTCACATGTGTGGGCATGCATGTATGGCCATAGGACAGCTTATAGTAGTCAGATCTCTTCTTTCACCATGGGGGTCCTGGGGATCACTCAGACCCTCAGCCTTGGCAGCATGTGCCTTTACCTACTAAACCATCTCCCAGGCCTGTAATTGAACTTTTCTTACATGTGGTCCTGTCAACATATTATAAGGTGTCAACTGGGTTGCTGTACTAAGAAATTCAAATCTGTCAAGGAAATTTCCAAATATTAACTTTAAATAGTTCTGTTATTAGATTTCTTAAACCAGAGCTATCATTATCATCTTACCTCACCCCATTAGTTACTTACAAATATATTTCCAAGTAAACAACTCTTCTCTCTCTCTCTCTCTCTCTCTCTCTCTCTCTCTCTCTCTCTCACAGGGTCTCTCTGTAGTCACAGCTGGCCTGGAACCCACTGTGTAGACCAGGCTAGCCTTGAACTCACAGAGATCCGACTGCCTCTGCCTCCCAAGTGCAGGGATTAAAGGTGTGTGCCACCATGCTCAGCCATCTAATCTCTCTTAATACTGCAGGTCAGATTGGACATTGTCAAGTGCCAAGGCAAGTAAAAGCAGAAACAGCCAGGCCCCAGAGAGCATCTCGAGAACAGCAGCCAAAAGGCTGTTTCCTAAGGATCCTTCCAAGAGCAGCTCTACAGTAGAGACCAAGAGAGCCAGTGTCAATGGAGACGACATTAGTGAAGTGCCTGAAACTGTTGTCAGTGACACAGAGGCAGGGCCAGGCTCTTCACACCCCACAAAGGTAGGTTAAAGTGTTGAGGCTGGCCAAGTCAGTCCACTTCTCAACATCTGTCACTGTTGTAGTCCTCTTGCCCTGGCCTCCCTGCCATCCTGATAGTTCCTTTCTTTTTTACCTTCAGCACTGAGGATGGGACCCAGGATTTCTAGCTTCTAGAGAGTATGCTCTCTCCCTCTGAGTTCTCCCCTGGCCTCTATTTATTATTATAGTCATTGCAGATAGTGCTGGGTTTTATGGAGAGTGTCTTTCCAATATACTGTCCTTTTACCATGTTTGCCCCATACCCTCCTCTTCCTTCACTCTCCTCTTTGCTCCCTTCTGCTAGTCTCCTCCTTTCCTCCAGACTCCCCTGTTTTCATGTTTATATATTATATATGGTATTATGAATCTATATAATATTTATGATCCACAAATAAGTGAAGACATGCAATATTTGTTTTTCTGAGTTTGGCTTATTAATATGATGACCTCCACTTATATCCATTTTATAGCAAATAATTTCATTTTTCTTTATGGTTGAATAAAACTTCACTGTGTGTATGCCACAGTTTCTTCATCCATTCCTCTGTTGATGGATGCTTAGACTGATTCCATAACTCAGCTATTGCAAATAATGCTGTGGCAAATATGGATGTGCAGGTATCTCTGTGCTATGTTAAGAGTCTTTTGGGTATATACTTAAAAATTCCCAGAACTGATATAGCTAGGTCATACGGTAATAGAAGATTTTAGGATTTTTTTTTCTCTTTTTTTTCATGTGGCTCAGGCTGACCTTGAATTCATTATGTAGCCAAGGATGGCCTTAAACTCGTGATACTTTCTGCCTTGACCTCGCAAGTGCTGGAACTAGAAGTGTATGCCACCATGCCTGGCTTATTTTCATATTTTTGAGGAATCACCATACTGATTTCCATAGTGACTGGTTTATAATCCTACCAGCAGTGTATAAGGATTTCTATTCCTCTACATCCTTGCTGGCATTTAAAAAAAGATTTTTATGAGTATGAATGTTTTGTCTCCATGTATGTAATTGCACCATGTGTGTACAGTGCCCAAAAAGTCCAGAAGAGAGCATTGGTTCATTGGAACAGGAGTTAAGGTGGTTGTGAGCTGCCATGTGGGGGCTGGAAACTGAACTCAGGTCCTCTCTGCTGGTGCTTTTAACCTCTGAGCCATCTCTCCAGTCTGAAGAGCAGCATGTGCTCTTAACCATCTCTCCAGCCCATTTGTTTTCTTTATCCTAGTCATTCTGACTCGGGTGAGACAGAATATAGTTTTCAATTGCATTTCTTTTGTGGTCAAGGATATTGAACATTTTTTCCCTGTTTATTGGCTATTGGAATTTCACCTTTGGAGAACTGTGTGTTGTTTCATTAGCCCATTTGACTGGGTTGTTTGGTTGGGAGATTTAAATTTTTTTTATACTTTTTTTGTTTGTGTGTGCACAGCACACATATGGAGGTTAGAGGACAACTTACAGGAGTTGGTTCTCCCCTTCTAAAATGAGTCCTTCTCTGGGGTGTGTCAGTGTGCTTGCTGCAGCAGTAGAGGAGGTGATAGTTTCCTGCAGCCTGCAAACAGCACATGGTGCCAAACTTGGAAAAAAATGTCAATGCCAAATTGATAGTTGAGAAATGATTTCTTAGAGTGTGTGGGTTTTATTTTGTTTTGTTTTGTTTTTGTAGGCAGGGTCTCTTTATGTAGCTCTGGCTGGCCTCAAACTCACATAGTCTCCTGTATCTGCCTCCTGAGTGCTGAGTGGGATTAAAGGTGTGTGCTACTATGCCCGGGTATTTTTTTTTTTTTTTTTAATTTTTTGGTGGGGGCAGTGCTAGAGAAATGACTTAGTGGTTTAGAATACTGGCTGCTCTTGCAGAGGCCTGGGGTTTGGTTCTGTGCACCAACATGGTGGCTAACAGTCCAGAACTCCAGTTCCAGAGTATCTGATGCCCTCTTCTGGCATTCAGGGGCACTACGTGATGTGGGTGCACTTACATGCAGGCAAAACACACATAAAATAACAACATTAAAAAAAATTTTTTTTAAAGCTGGGTGTGGTGGCCCACACCTTTAATCCCAGCACTTGGGAGGCAGAGGCAAGTGTTTCTCTGTGAGTTCAAGGACAACCTGGTCTACATAGTGAGTTCCAGGCCAGCTGGGACTACAGGGAGACAGCCAGGCATGGTGGCACATGCCTTTACTCCCAGCACTCAGGAGACAAAAGCAGGTGGATCTCTGTGATCCAGGCCAGCCTGGTATATAGAGTGAGTTTCAGGCCAGCTGGGGTTATAGGGAGACCCTATCTCAAAAAAGCAAAAGCAAAACAAAACAAAAAAAATTTAAGTTTTTTTTTTTGTTTGTTTTGGCTTTTTTTCTTTTTATCTCATCTGTACTTACCTTTTGAAGCAGAATGTGACTTGGGCACTCCATTTCCATTCACAAGCCTTGATGAGTTACAAGACCTAGAAGAGCTTAGGGTTTTGTTCTCAGTACTTTGGAAAAGAAGCCATGTAGAGAATTCCTCTCATCAAATTATTTCCACCTATATACTTATTTCTAGGACTAGTGCATGCAGAATTCACTACAGGGGATGAAAACCTTAAAAAGAAGATTCTAGAAGATGAAACTCAAGACATCCTAACAAATTTTTTCTTTTGAACATGAAGATATTTCTCAGAACACTTCAGTGACAAATGATTTTGGTCTAATAAGGAATCCAGCTTGGACACTCAGACCACAGTAGGTCACATTACATCTCACAACAAATGTTCTACTAACCTGTTAAAATAAGCCAACATTAACCTATTTTTTGGCTTAAATAAAGGTTTTTATGTGTATGGATGTTTGCATGTATGTATGTATATACACTGTGTGTGTGTGTGTATGTGTGTGTGTTTAGTTCCCAGGGGCCAGAAATCATTGGACTCCCTGGAACTGGAGTTACAGATGGTTGTTAGCCACCATGTGGGTGCTGGGAATTGAACCTGGGTTCTCTGCAAGAGCAGCTCATGTGCTCTTAACTGCTGAGCCATCTCTCCAGCCCTTCTCTTCCCCTCTCTGTGTTTATTACATACAGAGTATTGTAGCTATTTATCTGTGGTATATGGTGCACGACTACATTTCCTATATTGTCAGTTGTATTTTAGAGTGTTTCTTTTTCCCCCATACAATGCCTTTTCATTTTACATGGTAAATATTAGATATTTTAATTTTAAAAATTTTATGCGTATGAGTGTTTTGCCTGTGTGTATGTAAGTGCACCATGTGTGAAAAGCCTAAGGAGGCCAGAAGAGGGCATAGGATCCCCTGGAACTGGAATTAGGATGGCTGTTAGCTGCCATGTGGGTGAGAACTGAACCCTGGGTCTTATGTTGAACCATTTCTCCAGCCCCTTACATAGTAACTTTTTAAAATTTTCAAATGATTTCCAGTCTATTAGAAAGCTTTTTCCTACTGAGGTTAAGGAATCTACTAGTTTCCTCTAGAACTTGTGTAACTTCATCTTATGTTTATATCCTGAGCCATCTGAGATTTCTTTTGTGCATGGTATAAATTATGGGTCTAAATTAGTCCTTTCTGACTATTTATTATAGTCTACCTTTGCCCTGGTGGTTCAGTATCTCCTTTATCATATGTTAAACATTGTGTATTTGAGTCTGTCTTTGGATTTACCATTGCTGCCCCACTACTCTCTACACACTTCATTCTAGTGTTTTCCACGGTGGCTTCCTGTTTGGTAGGCTAGTGGCTCTTCCTGGATTTACTTTTTCCTGTCTATTCTTGAATGTTTACTTGTAACTTAAATTTTATTAACAATTTATCCATCTCCATAAGAAATGGTCTGTTGGTATCTGGATTTCTTTATACTTTCATTAATTAGGGAAAGCTCCCATCTTTATGCTGTTGTCATTCATCCAAAACCAGGTGATGCTTTTCTGTTTATTCAAGTCTTTTCTTCATGAATTTAGAGAATTATCCATTTCAAATTAATTTTTTTTTGAGACAGAGTCTCACATAGCCCAGGTTTGCCCCAGATTTCCCTTGCAATTGAGGATGATCTTGAACTCCTAATCCCCTTGCCTCCATCTCCCAAGTTCTGTAAATACAGGCCTGCACTACCATGCTCAGCTTTATTTTTTGCTGAGGGGTGGGGTGTATGGGATGAGTCTCACCATGTAGCCCAGACCAACTGACCTGGAATTCCCAATCTTCCTGCTTCAGCTTTCTGAGTGCTGGTATTTAAGGCATGCAGCACCACATTCAGCTTCTTCATCAGGGTTGATTTTTTCTTTTTTTGGTCTTTAAGACAGGGTCTCCCTGTAGCCCCAGCTGTCCTGGAACTCACTCTGTAGACCAGGCTGGCCTTGAACTCACAGAGATCCACCTGCCTCTGCCTCCCGAGTGCTGGGATTAAAGGTGTGCCACCATGCCCGGCTCAGGGTTGAATTTTTATTAAGTATTCCTGGATGTGCATGGGGCACATGTCAGTAATCCCAGCACTTGAGAGACTGAGGCTGGAAGATCATGAGTTCCAGTTCAATCAGGAATTTAGTGAGACTCTGTCTCTAAAAAGCAAAAGGAGGGGAATTGGAGAGATGGCTCAGCAGTTAAGAGCACTGGCTGCTCTTGCAGAGACCTGAGGTTCAATTCTCAGCACCCACATGGCAGCTAACAACTGTTCATAACTCCAGTTCCAGGGGATCCAATGCCCTCTTCTGATCTTTGTGGGCACTGCATGACACGGGTGCACTTACATGCATGCAGGCAATACACTCATACACATAAAAGAATAAAATAAAAATAAAAATATATTTAAGAAAGTAAAAGTAGGGATGGAGATATGGCTCATTTGGTAGAGTGGCTGGCTTAGCATGCCTGAAGCCTTGGTTTGATCCCCAGCACTGCATAAACCAGATGTAGTGCTGCCTGCCTAGAATCAAGTACTAAGGAGGTGGAGGCAGGAGGATCATAAGTTCAAGGTCATCCTTGGCTACAGTTTGAGGTCACCTTGGGCTACATGAGATTCTGTATCAAAAAAAAAAGAATCCTATGCAATCAATCTCTGTTGCAGGTGGGGTTTTCTCTACTAGTGTTTGCTGACTGCCCATTATTTGTGTGTGCAACTATTATATTTTGCATATTGCTAATCATTTCAGCATTTCCTTCTTGATTCTGTCAGACTTTTCAGGCATACTGTCATGGCTTTGCTTATTCTTCAGTGCCTGTGGTTGAGCTCTCCTGTCCCACACTAGCTGATGGCCTCTGATCCTGAGTGGCAGTGGGAAGTGGGCATCCTACTTCCTTCCTATCTCAGTAGGAAGGTGTGGTACACCTACTAAAGAAAAAGATTATTGCTTAAGTATTTTTTTTAATTTATGTATTATATGGGGGTGCGCCCGTGGAGGCTAGAAGAGGGCATCAGATCCCCTGAAGCTGGAGTTACAGGCATCCAACATGGGTGCTGGGAACCAAACTCAGGTCCTCTAGAAGAGCAGCAAGCACTCTTAACCACTGAGCCATTTCTCCAGCCCCCAAATTATTGCTTGTATTGCTTTTGTTTGTGCTGCTGTGCTTCATGGCTCACACTTGTGACCCACGGGATCAGTGGTCCTCTCACCTTCTTTTTTGTGATGCTAGAGATGGAACCCAGGCTTCCAGCACGCTATCAGAGCGCTCTACCACTGAGCCACATCCTCAACCTTCTTTTTCTTTGTGTATGTATTTCCCTGCTTGACATAGGAAAGGCTCCATTTTCCATCCATGGGAATTGTAAAGCCTAAGACACTGTGGAAACAAGTATGGGTGGCAAATAGCACTTACCCCAAGCCAGAGACAAAGTCAAGCAGCTCTGAAACACCAAGATAAGGCTGAGCTATTCCACATGGTGAAATGCACTTAGCAGAGAGGCTTTTTGGGTCATTTCCAGCCTCATGACCAGACTCTTCAAGAGGCAATGGATACTGTGCTTCCAGCTGAGCTAAAGGTTGTTCAGCACAACACAAATGTATTGATCCACCAGTTCTGAAGCTCATTAGTGTGAAATGGTTCTTCTAGGGCTAAGCATCAATGTTGTCAGAACTGTGCTCCTTTCAGATTGGGGGAGAATCCTTTCCTGCTTGCTCCAGAGTCTGGAGCCCTCCCACATTTTCAGGCATCTAATCCTCTTTCTCCTAAGTGAGTGTGACCAAGTCTTTGGGCCACCTGGCTGGCCACATCAGCTGTTGCAGCCTGATTCTATCACTACCTGTTTGACATAACATCTCTACAGGTTCTGGGGTTTAGTCCATGGCAGAGGGTATTATCCTGCATGAACAGCAGGATACCACAGCTAATTTGGGGCTTTCCAACTAGAGTGAGGTCAGAGCTACTGTTGATGCCACCTTACAGAGAGCACTCTCCCCGTTTGCTCCTGTCTTTTGACAGGCTAGCTCAAGCAGCACAGGGCTCCTTTACTTGCTTATGCTACCAAAAAGTCTCTGGGAGGTAGTAGGGTCAGAAGCTTCTTACCATAGGTGGATGAGGAGTCACTGCTGGCAGACAGCTGTGGCAGAGGGAGTGGCTGGAGAGGGCAGTGAATGACACAGATGAACACCAAGGCTAAGGCTCTTCTAGTAGAGCAGAAAAAGGGCCTGGGAGGGCAGAGAGGAGAGGGAGGGATGATGGCTTTAGCCTGGAAGGGCAGCTATAGAAGCAGGAAGGGAGGGGTTGTCACCCCTTTCCCTTGCCTTTGTCATCCCTAGTAGACATTTCTGTGACTCCTGGAAGAGTTAAAGATCCTGTCGTCAGCCAATGACATCAGGAGAGGTTCTGGTTGTAGGATGTGTTCAGTTGATAATGGGGGTGTATATGAATCACCACCACTGAAGACAGGGGCAGCACTAACCCTGTTTCTTAAAAGAAGGCTGCCTCTTAATAGCACTGAATGATCAGGCTTTCTCTTCAGAATAAACTGCGAGGTACTTTTTTTTTTTTCCTTTCAGTTCTCATGCATTCTTTGGAGCTTTTTATTCTGAACAGCAAGAACATGTCAGCCACCCATTAGACAGCCTGGCAATAGCAAGTGACAGTGAAGAGGATGCAAGTGGCAGAATTTCCACAGCCTGATGCTTGGTGCTGGCTGTGCTGGGCCCTGGCCCCATGAAAGGCCCATCTGCGCCTTGAGCAGGTTTTCACATTGAGCTTATAGCAGACCCTGTCTGAGGCTTCCCTGAGAGGGTCTTTGCTCCACTGTGCAGTAGAAACAGCTGCTTGTTAAGTGTCAAAACTCATTATGCTACTCAGGAAGTGACGCTCTTCTGTACAGGAATGAGCCCATTAGAGAGCGTAGATTCCAACACTAACCTGCAGCGTTACACTGTTCTCTGCTGGTCTCTAAAGGCTGAGTACCTCAGCTGCTGGGGTAGTGTGGAAGGCAGGACCTGGCCTTCTCAGGAGCACTTAGGCACCTTTTTTTATACCTGACTGTAAACATCTGGGTTTAGAGTTTTCAAAAGTAGCAAAGTTATGCAATCTTTTCTCATGTATTGACACAACAGGGTTTTTTGTCCATTGTTTTTTCAGACTTTAAAATAACCCCCGGAAAAAAGGTCATAAATAAGTTAATCTTTCACTTTGGAGTCACTTATATATTATACAATTTTATTTCCCAACTTTAATTGCTCAGATTCCTGCATGATTTATAGTGTGATGCAGAGAAGTATGTAGTGGAAGAAAGTCCAATGTCTAAGTCAAATGAAACAGAGCAGCAGCCTCCTCTGACCCAGACTTGGAGTAGAATAAGAGAAAATGCCTGCTTGTTGCTCCTTAGCTCCTGGGGGCTGGAGAGATGGCTCAGCGGTTAAGAATATTGACTGTTCTTGCAGAAGACCCGGGTTTGATTCCTAGCACCCACATGGCAACTAACAACTGTCTGTAACTCCAGTTCCAAGGGATCCCATAGCCTCTTCTGTCCTCTGCGGGCATTGCATGACACAGGCGCACTTACATACATGCAGGCATAACACTCATAGACATAAAATAAAAAAAAAAAAGAATTAGCTCCTTACCTGTGAAAACAGATTAAAAACTGGCACAAAACATTGTTATGTAATATCTTAAGGTGTGTACCTCTCTCCCCCAAACCTGTTTACAGTTAATTATAACCCAGCAAAGGAGCCTTTGGTAACATCTTATTGCTAAGTCTTTGGAAAACCATTAAACCATAAGGAAATGTTATCCAGGAAGCAATTGTGTTTTAGATTTTGTGAGAAACTGAAAGAGGTGCCTAAGTGGATTAGTATGCTTCAGAAGTGTGAACAGAGTTCTAGTTCTAACTCAAACCAGAACCATTTGGCTCTTGTAGCTTAGCAGTGAGTCATAGCTAAGCCCACAATAACCTAATAAAAAAACAAGTGCATCTCAAGATGTTCCTCCATGAATGAAAATGGGTTTTCAACAAGCTTTTTTTGAAACTGGCAATGCCCACCTATCTCAGCTGTAGGCTGAAGATTTATGAATCTTATGTTTATACTGATGACTAGCTAAATTTCTCACATTCTTAACCAACACAAATGGCTAAGACAACTCTGTAGGTCTGCCAGCTGAGGACAAAGTTTGGGTTCACTCATCAACAAGGTGGGGCAGTACCCTGGGGTCAGTAGGAGCCTGGGTGCAGCACTGGTCCGGAGAAGACAATGACAAACTAGAAGCACTTGGGTCTTTAAATTCCAGCTGAGTGCAAGGCTTAATCGTTAAAATTTATATATTTTTGTACTGGGGATGGAATCCAAGGCTTGGTGCACACCAGGCAAGTGCTCTACCAACCAAGCTCTGCTCCAGCCCCCGTAACAGCTCTTCTGGAAGTTCACACCCTACCACTGGGAAGCGAAAACCTCTGTATTATTTTACATTCAATTGCCAGTCCATTTTGATGAAAATTTGAGGGAGTTAACCAGCTGCTGATAAAGAGCTATACTAGTTAAGATGGTAAAGTGCAGAGCATGATAGCTTTCTAAGTGCTGGCAAACTGCTCAGCTGACTAAGAGGCTTTGGAATGAGGACTGAGAGACCAACAAACAATGCCAAGGGCCAATGTCTTAGTTCATGACCGTTCAAACCAAAAGGAGGACACAGATTAGTATAAATACTCTATTTATTAAATATCTTTACAGTTTATTTGTATTTACAGAACTATTCCTGCCTAAGTTATACTTCAGACATCCCATTCAGGTAACTGCCTCTTTAAGACAAACAATGATAGTCTCAACAGAAAAAGCAGCTCATTAGTACACACAGATTCAAATTTGCTTCATTACTTAGTCATCTTTGCCACAAACTACCTGCTAGCAGTTAAATTTTGACACAGACACTGTTTTTAGTTGAGCAGTTCAAATTTGCAACAAATTTAATTTTTTGAAACAATAGAATCCAAATGTTTTCTGGTTCATATTTTGTTTTATAAGCAGATTTTTTTGGTATTGTAAAATTTTTAAAATTCAAAAGCATGACTTAAGTCTCCAGAGAAACTGAATGTTGTAACTCTATCAGATAGCTGGTGTAAGGTGACAAGGAGCCACACACCTGCCCAAAAGTACCAACACTCAAAGTCTTAGCCAATTCTGCCGACCACCTCCACAACACCCAGGACCAACTCCCACTTCCTTCCTTTTGCTCCTTGGTGCAGTCAGCTGGCGGCACTATGGATGCTTGCCATCTGCTGGGTGCTCTATCTAGAACAAGGGCAGCAGCAGGAAAGGACACTCTCTTGCCTTGCAAAGCTCACACCGGGTTTCTACTCCAGACACAGCCCGACCCAGACACGCACACCTGGAATGGATTCTTCTGTGAGCTAGTAGCCTGTCAACCACATCAAGCGCACACAGTAACTTGGGACAAAGAGCTTGTTTTCATCCACATTTCTTCTTTCAGGTTTAAGAGCCTAGGGACTCTAGCTACTTCATCTCCATTTGGTAATTATATTTATTTTTTGTGCGCAGGCAGCTTAAGTTCATAGGAAGAAATAAGGTTCTGATATGTTTAGAGTGCACATTTCAAAACAGAACAAAATAAAAATTTCAAGCATGTGATAAAAATATTGATTTTTATAATACAGTATTGCTCTATAAATATAGATGGAAAAGCTATAAACTTTACTGGTCTTTGGTGCATCCAGAGAGGGATAAATAATTTGCCATTTGTAAATTAAAAACCCAAATTTTCTCTTCTGTTATAAAAGTCCAAGTGTATATGCTTACACTGCTTGATTTAAAATACAATGAATGTATACCATGAGGTTCCAAATTAGACCCATCAAGTGATGGAGCTCAGCCCACCCTGGAAGCCTGGGTATAGACTTGGGTCTAACAGAGCCCTGGACCATAGGGAGTGTGAGATGGCCTCACACCACCTGACCCTTGACAGTCATAAAATTAAGTGCATAATGAAAGGGACAGGGGGAGAAGCAAATGGAATATTTGATGTCACTGGTCCACACACCAGGTCCAAAGTCTATCTTAGTGTGAAACTCAATTCATGCCCCACTGTTTTCAGTATCACTGATAGCCAAATTGTCAATTTCTAACAATCATTGCTCAGAAGTGAGTTAATTAAGTTGTGTAAAATACCACCAATCTAGCTTTACAAAGATTGTTTGATGGGTTAAATGAGAGCAGAAAAAGCCAGTAACTTGACCACATTGCTCTTACCAGGAATTAAATGTTGGCATTGGAAAATTAATGCAAAATATATCCAGATCATAAAGCTACAATACCTTTGACCAAAAAAGAATTACAAACCAAATAGAAGAGTTGAAGTCCTCAGTCCTAGCATCAATGTGTTCCTTTAACAAACCCTGTCTGGATGCAACTTTACTTTTTGAAATACAGAGAGCCTGTAAATAGTTTGTGCAAAATAAATACCCTACCATTTGCCCCTCATGCTTCAATGTTCAATCAGAGTACAACTGTTTCTCCTTATTAAACAGTCTCCCTTCATACCCCACCTGGCCCCTGTATCGCCTCACCAAAGAACTGTTTTGTCAGGTTAGGGTAGTTAAGGCATTCTGACATGTAATTAAAGGTGATTCAAAACAAATAGCTAACATTATGCCAATTTAGGAATAGTAGATAAATTACTGAACAGCTTACAAATGAATAACTCATTCTTATTATAAATGAAATGCCTGTTACAAGCATGACACATTGAAATATAGCAATGACATGTACATGGTACATGTTAAACAATTTTAAATAAAACAAAAGCTCGACAGTTACTCAAATATACAAATTCACAAACAAAATCTTTTAAAACAAGGTGAGGTAACCTCAAAAACAAGTTTCAATGCAATAAACCAGGGAGTCAGTATCTCCTGTAGAGAAAGAACTTTTTGGTTCTCCTCAAGTAATCTCAGCAGGTTTAATTGCATTCGCATCTATACACCAACCTTACCTGACTCATATAAAACATGGCTTTAATTTAAGGGTTTCTAAGTATATATAGTTTTCTACCACCAAGTTAATGAAGGAAAAAAACTGACCCAAAAAAATATATCTTTACAGCAGTCAATTGTACATAAACCTTAAAAATAAGTTTGAGCTTGCAGGTAATGGGAAACCGAATACGGGGTAGTTTGAGAAGGAAACTATCCACTGCAAATGGCTATTCGGAAACTGTAAACATTAAGCTGGATTCAAAACCCCATACTTCTGCTGGGGTAAATGCGAATATCAGGTCATCACTAGTTTTCCTGTGGGCTCTGCTGCTGTGGCCACCACACACAGTCACTTTATGGACACAGTGAATGCGGTGCATGCTTTAAGAGGGTGAGGCTCTTGAGGGAAGGAGCGAGGCTGTCCATGGCTAACCTCATTCCAAGCTATATATAGCTGTGTATTCTCAACCCAACAGGCCCAGGCCTGGAGGTCCCACAGCAGGGGGGGGCACCCTCACAGACAGCGAGGAAGGAATTTAGTCACAGTATTCAATTCCTAGGCCTTGAGGAGTTTCACAATTTCATGTAGTATTTCTAATAATAAAATTTTGGTAAGGAGTCTCCCCTCTCTGTTCCTCCTGAAGATCAGGCCTCTAGCCTGTGACCTGGACAAATCAATAAACTGCCAAAGTTTCAATCACAGGAGCACAATTAAGCATCTTTTTAAAAGCACAAAATATTTGCATCCATAGAACTAAAATATTCTTCCAATTTGTAACAAAAAATAAAAGCTGCTTGGGGGGATCGAGATCTCATAACCCAGAGTATAGTCTTGGAGCAGGACTGTAAGCTCCCAGAAAACAGGAGTTCATAATGACAACACAAAGCCACACCCAGTCCTAGCAAAGACTGCCTATGGAAACATGGGTAGCATTTCTTGTGATAGTGTTTGTTTTCTAGTAGATGTATCATTATATACTATGTTAACCCTTTAACATCCCTTTAACACACTGCAATTTTGAATTCACTTTGCCAATATCACTAATTTTCCATATTTCAACTGCTTTTGAAAAGTAGTAGCCTTTGAAACCCTCTGGGGGAGGTGAAGGCTGATCTTCAAATCTTGCTTTGCCTTGGCTGTCTCCAGCAGGTCCAGGCTAGTAGATGATAGTAGTGGTTCTCAATAAGGATCTCAATGGGTCTCAAACACATGGGCCAGAGTGTAGGTCACCGGCCACGAAGATCAGTGGCAAAGAAATGTGGTCCTGCCAGCAGGATCAGCACACATGGCAGGGAAAAGTGGGGCAACAAGGGAAAGGCAGGAGTCAACAGCGTGGCCAGTCAGTCTGTGTATTCAGCCACTATTGAAAGGAGAACAGTGATGTCATCTGGCTTTCCACCTAAAATGCAAATGAAAACTTATCAGTATGTTTTACTTAGTTATTTTTAAAAATATCTTTTTTTTTTTTTTTTTTTTTTTTTTCTTTTTTTTTTTGAGACCTAGCAATTCCTACCTCCTATTTTTATCACACCATCCTCTGAAGAGGTTATCCAACTTGCAGATAGGGAATCTGAACCCAGACCACTCTGGTTTCTTCTATGCTTAACAGGGACACAGGGTGATGCAATTGGAATACCCCTTCAGTGGGTATATCTAAAAGACTCCCAAACTGCATAACTCTTAACTTCAGGGAGTTAGCATCACAAAGTTCTAGACAGGGAACCAGGAAAATGTCAGAACAAGGCAAATTTCAAATGTTCATATTGGAGTCCACTGGAATTTCTGGAGGAGAGCATCCAAAAGCATCCCGCTACTGGGTTTCTCCTCATTTTTCTGTTGTCTGCCAAGACGGGACTATAGAGCGACAGACTCGGGATTTGTTTTCAGGAACTTTGATAGCTGTTGGAGTGGCTTCCTTCTCTTTTTGAGACAGGGTCTCCCTGTAGCCACAGCTGTCCTGGAACTCACTATGTAGACCAGGCTGGCCTTGAACTCACAGAGATCTGCCTGCCTCTGCCTCCCGAGTGCTGGGATTAAAGGTATGTGCCACCATACGCAGCCCCCAAAATATCTTATTTTTTAATTTTATGTGTCTGAGTGTTATGCCTGCATGTATGTAAGTGCACCCATGTCATGCAATGCTTGTGGAGGTCAGAAGAAGGTGTCGAATTCCCCTGGAACTGGAGTTATGGATGGTTGTTAGCTGCCAGATAGGTGCTGGGGATTGAACCTGAGTCTTCTGAAAGAGCAGCCAGTGCTCTTAAGCACTGAGTGTCTCTCCAGCTCATCAGTATTTTTTTTTTAAATTTTATTATTTTTATTTTATGTGTATTTGTGTATCGCCTGCATGTAGGTAAGTGCACCTGTGTCGTGCAATGCCTACAGAGGACAGAAGAGGCTGTTGGATCCCCTGGAACTGGAGTTACAGACAGTTGTTACCTGCCATGTGGGTGCTGGGATTCAAACCCGGGTCTTCTGCAAGAACAACCAGTGTTCTTAACTGCTGAGCCATCTCTCCAGTCCCCATCAGTATGTTTTAAAAGGAAAAGTCAATTAAAAAAAAAAATGTCACTGAGGCAAGTACTAAAGAGACATACGTTTTAGTGGTTTGCCAGTGCACTCCAGTGGAAAAAGAAGGCGGGGGGGTGGTAATGAAGGGAAAACAAAGTTGGGCATGGTGGTCCACTCCTGTAAGCCCTGAACTTAGCAGGAAGATCAGGAGTTCACGTTATTCCTGGCTACACAAAAAGTTCAAGCCCAGTCTGGGATACATGATAATCTGTCTCAAAAAGCCAAAATAAAAATAAAGAAGCAGTTAAAAAACACCAAGAAGCTGGGGCATGGCGGTGTGTGCCTATAATCCCAGTATTAGGGAGGCTGACACAGGAGGAGTACCACAGGTTTGTGGACAGCTTGAGCTATGTGAGATTCACAAAGTAAAAATGATGGTGCAACACTTTTAATTCCAGCACTCAGGAGGCAGAGGCAGGCAGATCTCTGAGATTAAGGCCAGCCTGGCCTACATAGCAAGTTCCAGGGAGACCCTGTTATCAAAAAAATCTAAAAATTAATAAAAAACTAAAACCAAACAAACAAAAAATGGGGCTGCAGAAATGTCTCAGTGGTTAAGAGCACTGGTTGCTCTTACAAAGGACCAGAGTTCATTAAGTTCTCAGCACCCATATTAGGCAGCTCACTGTAACTGCCTATAACTCTAGTTTTGGGGATCCAACACCCTCTTCTGGCCCCTACAGGTACCTGCAAGTATGTGGTGCACATAGAGACAAACAGGTATGTGCTTATAAATAAACAAATAAATAAATAAATACAGATAAATCTTAAAAAGTAAAAACAAAAAAGCAATTTAATTGAAGCTTAAAAAAAATCCCCACAAAAAAACAGGACCTTCTCCATTACAACAGGAGCTCTGTGAAGACAATCTTACAGCCTCTGTTGACATCAACAGCAGTGAGACAGTCTGCTAGGGCAGCTCCAGCTTGGTTACATGCTTCTACCACAATCCTAATTTGGACAAACATACCCAATGTTTTGAAACTAGGAATAGCCTTGTATTCTAATCTGCCAAGCAGCCATGGCATGTGCTTTTCTCTACTTTAACATACCCTGGAGTGCTCAGACATGCTCTGCATGTCATAATGTTACACTAGCAAGAGCCCACATACAACTCCACAGGTTCTGACACGCCAGCACCAACATGTCATCCAGTTGGGACTGGCCTACTTCCCCAGTCACACCATGAAGTAGACAGACTCCACAATCAAGGGCATTCCACATTGTTTCCCTTTTCAAAATCTGCTGTGGCAATTTGGCACACAAACATTGTCATTGAGTCCCACAGAACCAGAGGACTATACTGGCGAAATGTCAGCCATGTGAAGGGCAAAGTGTTAAACTGCTAGGAATATGCAGGCCCTGTAGGCCCAAGTAGCACAGTGGTGGCAATAAGGGGCTTCAGATTCTGCCTGCGTCTAGAGCTAGTCAAGTTCAGTTTTGAACAGCATCTTCAGCAGGGAAGCATGGTAATATGCACTATCACTCTCTTGACTCGGCTCATGGCTGAAAAGGAAGAACACCTACACTTAAAAAAAAAAAATTTATTTATTATTTTTATTTTATGTGTATGAGTGTATTGCCTGCATGTATGTGAGTGCAACCATGTCATGCAACGCCTCGGAGGTCAGAAGGGGGCTGTGGATTCCCCTGGAACTGGAGTTAAGGACGGTTTGTAGCCACCATATGGGTGCTGGGAATTGAACCCGGGTCCTCTGCAAGAGCAGTCAGTGCTCTTAACCGCTGAGCCATCTCTCCAGCCCCTCACCTACACTTTAAAAAAAAAATTTTTTTATTTATTATTTTTATTTTATGTGTATGAGTATATTGCCTGCATGTATGTGAGTGCACCCGTGTTGTGCAATGCTGAGAAGGTCAGAAGAGGGCTTCCAATTCCCCTGGAACTGGAGTTAAGGACATTTTATAGCCGCCATTGTGGGTACTGGGAATCGAACCCGGGTCCTCTGCAAGAGCAGTCAGTGCTCTTAACTGTTGAGCCATCTCTCTAGCCCCAGAAACACCTACACTTTTATACTCAGAGCCCAAATGCTTCCCAGTCAGTCCCTTCGACCTTCCAGAGAATGCTTACCTCTTACATTCAATCCGTTGTCACATGCAAACTGTGCAAAAGGTGACATATAATTTGGGTCATAGGCCAGCTCGTGAGCTTGCTCAGCAATGCTCCTCGCAGTCTGTTGTATACTCTCATAATTTGAATTCTATAATGAAAGGACGGAGTTATTTTTAGCACAATGCCCCATGGGTGTTCTGTATTAAGTGGACTTCATGCAGACACTGCTTAAGATAGGAACATTTACTTGAACGTATTTTTCCATTGAAGTTTTATTCTAGTTAAAAAAGATATTAAAATGGTACAGTTTGGAACAAAGTCTATCAGTGTTTCTGTGCACCTCAATTAGAAAACCTTTTGTTTGTGTGGCCCTGGACCCTTTAAGTTTGGATTTTCATTTCTGGTTTCCCATTTGAAAATTTTAGGGTATTCTTTCTAAAATGGGATAGTCTGAAAAGGTGAGTTCTGACAACATTTTTACAGTGACTAAAAGTTCCCTGGTTGGGAATATACCTTGGTTAATTATTTTTGGTTACCAAGTAATAGGTGCCTTGGTGCTGAACATCCTGCTGAGAATGCCTTTAGGATTTGTTGTTGTTGTTGTTTTGTCTTTTTTTGAGACAGGTTCTCCCTGCAGCCCAGCTGTCCTGGAACTTACTATACAGACCAGGCTGGCCTTGAACTCACAGAAATCCGCCTGCCTCTGCCTCCCAAGTGCTGGGATTAAAGGCGCCACCACCCCTGGCTTGCCTTTAGGGTTTTTTGTCACCACAGAAGATTCTTGTTTAGCTATGTATTCTTGAGCCACGCCTTATCCTGGCTGCTTCTACTTCCACCTCTACAAGGGAACAGGAAGGCAAGGTGCACCTCAGATCTGACAGTCAAAGGCCCTAAATCTTCTCAGTCTAAATATCAACAGGTCTGTTCTCTTTAAAAAGGCCTTCCCTGATCAATCTAAGGCAGCAATCTCCTCTTATCCATTCCCTTATTTGCCATCAACACTCTATCCTATATTCATCTAACTCCTGCTCACTTCCCTAGACTCTAAGCGACAGAAGGGCAGGGCCTGAGTGCTTTCTGCATTGTCAGTATGGGTGCAGTCTGAGTTACATGTGAGCACCTAGTAGGCAACTGAATACCACAGATCAGACAAGCCACAATACTCTCTTCCCATTGTCTTGGTTCATCGTTGTTGCTGCAATTGTATGGGACAAAAGCTTTCCTACTTCCCATTTCATAAACAAGGATATCATGGCTTGACTGTTGAAAAAAACACATCAAGCCAGGATGAGAAGTTAGAAAGGGTTAGAAAGGCTAGTTCTCCCCAGTCAGTACTTTCACAGAGCTAAGAGAATCTGGGAAGCCTAGTTTCCATCCCTGCCACCCTCTACAGAAGAAGCCAAACTTTCACTACTCAGGCGGCTCTGGTTACACCCAGACTCCTTGCTGCCTGGGCTGGCTCTTGTATAACTGCTTCCTATCTTTGTATCCTCAGCACCTGCTGGGTGTGTGGCTAAGAGTAAAAGGAGAAAAAGAGCCAACACTATTAAAACATAAAGAGGTGCTGGAGAGATGGCTCAGCAGTTAAGAATGCTGGTTGTAGATGGGCAGGTGGTACACGCCTTTAGTCCCAGCACTCGAGGCAGGTGGATCTCTGTGAGTTCAAGACCAGCTTGGTCTACATAGTGAGTTCCAGGCCAGCTGAGGCTACAAGGAGACCCTGTCTCAAAAAGACCAAAAAAAAAAAAAAAAAAAAAAAAAGAACACTGGATGCCCTTGCAGAGGACCCGGGTTGCAGGTTATATACATGCAGGCAAAACACTTATATACATAAAATAAAAACAAAATTAAAAAAAAAAAAGAAAAATATAAACAACAATGTCCTGGACTTTTCCTGTTTTCATGGCCCTGTAAAGGAAGAGCTTGGGTAGGAAGCTTCTTTCTCCCTCCAGTTCTCTTATGAATATTCCCACTTATAACTTCCTGGAATGGTATACCCATTATTTTCCTCAAGTTCACAAAATAGTCCTTTCCAAACCAACAAGGACTATGAAACAGATGCAATAAAACCCAGAGGCCAACACTATTAACACAGGCTTCACCAGCCACTGAGTTCATTACCTTTAGTTTTTTCAGCTCCTGAAGGATCATATAATCAGGCATGTTGTCAAAGAGTCCATCTGTTGCTGTCAGGATGATGTCTCCTAACTGGACATCGAAAGATGTGCTATCAGCAGCATCTGGGCTGTGGCAAGGATAGGAAGGGACAGCAAGGTTATGGAAGCCCTGTAGATATGGTTCAGCAGTTCCACCAGCAATGTTTTACAACATAGTGAGGTTTTTTTAAAATGTAGTCCAGCAAAAAAAGTTGGGCCAGTGAGATGGCTAAGGCGGCAAGGCAAGGGCAATGTCACCAAGCCTGATGACCTGAGTTTGGTCCAAAGGACCTACATACTTTAGGGAGACAGTCATAAGTTGTCTTTTGAGCTCCATACTTGTGCTTTGTCATCTGCCATGCTATAAAATAAATAAATGTAATTAAAAGTTTTTAAAAATAGGGCTGGAGAAATGGCTCAGCTGTTAAGAGCACTACCTGCTCTTGCAGAGGACCCAGATTCAGTTCCCAGTACCCACATGGCAGCTAACAATCAGTTCCAGGGAATCTGATACCTTCTTTTGCTCTCTGTAGGCACTGTATGTACATGGTACACATGCAAGCAAAACATTCATATGCATAGAATAAAAATAAATCTTCTTTAAAAACCAAATAGTAAAAGTCATTCTGAAATGTCAAACCTTGAAAAAAATTTGCTAAAAACAATATAAAGTGTTTCAAAGGCTTAACTGAAACCATCAAGTAACACTGATTCTGATTAGTCACATTTGGTGGCTCAAGAGAAGACTGTCCCGTAAGTCAGATCTAACGGCCTCTAAGCCTGGCAGGAATGACTCCTTTCTTGAGTCTACAGGCTCAGATCCCAACCTCTCCTTGTCTGCACCATTGTGCCCCACCCCGCTCTCAGGGTGTTAAGTATAGTAGGGCAGGATGCTGGGCATCCAGAGAAGATGGGCTCCTATAGGAATAGCTGCTGTGGACACGTGGGACAGCCTCTGGCATAGTCAAAGACTGTGTCTCCCACCCTGTTTATGAGTGTGTCTGGCATGTAGAACTTCAAGAAATATTTTAGATGACTCACTAAACAAACTAACCCTCCAACTTGGGGGAAAAAAATCTTTAATATGTTGTTAACTAGAAAAGGCAGATGCAACAATTACTTCTGTACAACAAGGAGAGAGAGATGCATATGGAGGCTTCTAAGTGCAGTGTCAATTTGGAGACACAAAGAAACTATTCCCAATGCCTTTCTAGAGAATGTGTGGCTGAATCAGGGACAGAGGGGAGAGTTTTCATTACATTTTTTTTTGGTCTTTTTGAGACAGGGTCTCCCTGTAGCCCCAGTTGGCCTGGAACTCACTATGTAGACCAGGCTGGCCTTGAATTCATAGAGATCTGCTTGCCTCTGCCTCCTAAGTGCTGTGATTACATTTTTTTGTTGTTTTTGGAGAGGTCTCTACATGTAGCCCAGGTTGGCCTTGAACTTGTGATTCTCCTGCCTCCGCCTCCTGGGTCCTGGGATTACAGGTGTGCGCCACCATGCTCAGCTGGGTACAAGTTTGAAGAGCGATGGGAAGGTTTTTCTCTGACAAAGCCGTTAGAAAACAGACATAACAATGGGGGAACTCCAGGCTGGAGTTCACAGCCCCCTCTGAAGCTGGATCTCCATCACTTCTACAGCCAGCTTCACTGCTTCCAGGCCTGCAAGGGCAGGCAAATGAGATGTCTATAATAGTCTGCCTGAATTTGTGGGATTAAAAAGCAGGAAAATCTCGGGGCGTGGTGGCACACGCCTTTAGTTCCAGCACTCAGGAGGCAGAGGTGGGCGGATCTCTGTGAGTTCAAAGCCACCTGGTCTACATAGTGAGTTCCAGAACAGCAAACAGCTGGGGCTACAGGGAGACCCTGTCTTAAAAAAAGACCAAAAAAAATAAAATAAAAAAAGGCAGGAAAATCCTAACACCCTAGACAAAGGAAAGGGCCACAGCCAAAGCACCTCAGCTTGACAAAAAAAATAAAAAACAACAAGAAAAACAAAACCCACACCTGTGTAAGTGGCATGATATACATGGAAAGAAAAGATAAAATGAAGCCCCCATGCACACCTGGGGATTTACACAGTACCCAAAGCAAACCCCTGGCTCACCTTCCAATGGCAGCATACCTCCTAGACCACATACTTTCTATAGATAAGAGTAACAATTAAGGTACATGCAATAGGAACAGAAAAACCACCATTTTCAAACTGACGGAGACTGGGTCAGCTTCTGCAAAATCAAGAGAAATATGCAAAATGCTCTGGCCTGCTATTTTGCAAATGCTTCAGGTTCTAGAAGTGTAGATTAATGACCAGGTTGGCAGCAAGGCTGTTTTGTGCTGAAGTTTTTCTTTCCCCACGAGTGGCCTTTGCCATTCTGCCTGGGAGAGTCTCACTCCCATTGGATAGTCCATCCCCTGCTAATACTCCCACCCATGAGTTTGGTGTTCTGCCAGCTGTAGTTCTGCCCATTTTGATTGAACATACTGTGCTGCTGGAAACTTTTTACTGCACTGAAACACAATCCATAGTCACATGCTATTGAGCTGTCCCTGTGCTCTAGGGGAAGCCACCTCCACCTTGCCAGTGTACCTGTAGTCTGTTTGTCCCAAGCCTAGTATAGAGATCTGGAATTTGGAAGCCAAAATAGACAGCAGCAAATGAAGGAAAATTAAGCACCAGTCTCCAGAAACTGTCAACTGGGGTAAGCATCCACTGAAGCTTTAACTCCAACATGGCAGATACTACTGTGTATTGCAGCCCACTCCAGCATACAACAAAAGTCGTCTAGTGAAATGGTTTGAGGGTAAAGCATCTGTTGCCAAACCTGCTGACCTGAGTTCAATCCCTGGAACCCAAACAGTTGGGGGAGAGAACTGCCTGCTGCAAACTTTCCTCTTATCTCCACAATGTGCTGTGACACGCACACCACCACCACCAAAACACACAAAATAAAGGTAAAAAAGAATACAGTAAAATATTTAGTCATGTTCTTCCAATTATGGTAATTGGCTTAATCTGAAAGTTCAAAGTGCTTCCCTCTAGAAGTCAGCAACACAGCCTTACTCCCATCTAAGAAAATATCAACTAAAAATGAATTTAAAAATGTTTCAATTATCTTGGAAGATTCCTGACAGTTTAAAAATGAACTAAGAGACAGAGAGATGTTAGCAAGAAAAAGAGAATACCTCAGAAAGCCCATTGTGCACTGGGAGCAGTCTTGCCACTTCACTTCTGTTGGGAACACGTATAAAGGGGCCTGAAAATCAGGAAGTTATCCTGACAGAACAGATGTCTTGCAAATTTCCCTAATAATGTATGCAAATCTTGCACTGGCAAAGGCATGCATGTGCCACAGCTCAGCTCTCCAGTAAAACACGCAACCTGAGTGAACCACGTGCTGCTGGTATGAAAAACTAACAGACGAAGTCTGGATTGACATGTTCATAGTCTTGTCATGTCACAGTGTGCCTACAGCAATTCGATGTGGCTGTGATACCTAATTTGAATAAAATACCAAGTTAAAGGCCCCACTTGCCAATCCCCTCGATGACCACACTTTCTTGCAGCAAAGCACCTGTCCAGCTGTGCTCAAGGGGGCAGGTGGGAGGGTCCTGTGATCAAGTCACATTCCGCTTCTAGGGAAGGGGTGCAAGATTACCTGTCACTCAGGACGACTCCCTCTGCCTCAGGAGGAGCAATAGAAAGCTGGAATGGAGTGTTGAAGTAATGCTGCTGCTCATCAGATCGGTGTACAACTTCGCCACCCCGGACCACCAGGAAGCCTGAGTCACCCAGGTTTGCTGTGTGCAGGCGGTGGCTACTTCTGTCCAGCACCACGATGCAGGCTGTGCTGCTACCTACAAATGACAAGGATTATCAGCTGACCATCTCCCCTGGGCTGCATGCTGATCACTCAACTCCAGGTATCCACACACCATGATCTGAATCTCTCCTCTCCATAGGACCTTTCCTAGTTTGCCCCACCTCCCTGGGAATGGCAGCAATAACCTGAGCAGGGTCCATGTGTGAGGACAGAAGGGTGTGGTACAAAGAGCAGAAAGCCACTGAGGAGGCACCATCTTCTTTCTGCAAAGATGGAAAGTGCCAACAATTGCACCTTTGCACACATCCCTTCTCTCAGTGCTCTCATCTCCAAAGGCTCCAAAGCAGGTTACTGTGTTTAATATTTAAATGCAGGAACAAAGGTGCTGCTCACCACACTTCTCCTTAGTCACTCGTGGCAAGCCTTCACACAACTCACTAACAGTTAAGGCAGGGCACATAACTACCATTGAAAACCAAATTGCCATCTGTTGAAATCATGAAGCACTTTCACTGGAGACTAATGATTCACTATGAGGTTATAAGATCAATTTTTGCAGGTGGCTTCTGGAATCAACCTGTTCACAAAGACTGGTTTACAGGATGAGCCCACCCCTCAAGCAGCCACCAAGAGCCTAGTGCACTGTTGCTGTACACAGCCCACATCGTCCTTGGTCTGGCTGACTACAGTAAAAACTTAAACCTGCACCTTTGTCCACCAGAATATGCAACTGACCAAGAAATAAATGCAAAATGGTCTGTAGTATGCAAAACACTGACATCCAGTTTAACAAGAACCAAAAGAGGATAATGCAGTGCTGGCCAAAGTATAAGGAACCTGCCCTATCCCACTTACTCTGTAGAGGAGAAGAGTAAAACTAAACCTTTCTGAAGATTATATGGCTCTGAAAAAATAGACACATTCCTTGATCTACAATGGCTATATATAAGAATTTATCCCAAGAAAATAATTACAGATACAAGTGAGATCGGGATAAAGACTAAGAGCCGGAGAACCAGGAATAAACCAAACATCTACAGTGAAGACACTGAGTTGGGCAGGAAGCTAAGGGGTGGAGTGCTTGACTAGCACCAGCAGGTCTTAGAGTCAATGTCCAGCACTGAAATAAGTAAAATTAAAGAACTGTTAAATAAACAATAACATACGGCTATAATACAAAGCTCTACACTGTCACATCACACTTAGCAGAGTATGGATTTATGGTGGAGCGGGCCTGCCTGCACCTGAATCCCAGCTTTGCCATTCATCAGCTATGCCATCTGGGACAGGTAACTTCTTTGTGCCTCAGCTTCCTCAGCCACAAAACTAGGACTATCAGTAACCACCTCAAGGAGTTGTCCTTAAGGATTAAAATTAGTTAAGTAATGTCAAATGCTTAAAATAGCCAGGCGTGGTAGTGCACACCTTTAGTCCCAGCACTTGGGAGGCAGAGGCAGGTGGATCTCTGTGAGTTCAAGGCCAGCCTGTTTTACATAGTCAGTTCGAGGCCAGCCTGTTTTACATAGTGAGTTCCAGGCCAGCCTGTTTTACATAGTGAGCTCCAGGCCAGCCTGTTTTACATAGTGAGTTCCAGGCCAGCCTGTTTTACAAAGTGAGTTCCAGGCCAGCTGGGGCTACAGGGAGACCCTGTCTCAAAAAGACCAAAAAAAAAAAAGTTATTTATTTGATAGCCATTAAGATCACGTTAAATATATTTGGAGGGGCTAGAGAGATGGCTCAGCGGTTGAGAGCACTGACTGCTCTTGCAGAGGACCCGGGTTCAATTCCCAGCACCCACATGGCAGCTACTAACTATCCTTAACTCCAGTTCCAGGGAATCCAAAGCCCTCGAAGCCCTCTTCTGACCTCTGCAGTGGGACTGCACAACACAGGTGCACTCACATACATGCAGGCAATGCATTCATACACATTAGAAAAAAAGAAAGAAAGAAAAAGAAAAAAATGGAAAGAAAAGTGAAATAAGGTGTATAAAAACTAGTATTGGGGACTGGAGAGATGGCTCAGTAGTTAAAAGCACTGGCTTCTCTTGAAGAGGATCGGGGTTTGGTTCTCAGCACCCACATGGTGACAAATGACTGTCTATAACTCCAGTTCCAGGGGACCCAACGCCCTCTTCTGGCCTCCATGGGCATTGCACACAGAAGTGCACTTAAATACATGTAAGCAAAACACTCAGACACATTTACAAACAAAACGAAACAAAAATTAAAACAACAACAACAACAAAACCCCAAAGCTAGTGTTGGTTAGGGATGTGACTCAGGTGGTAGAGTGCTTCTGAGTATGCACAAGGTTTAATTACCAGTACCACATAAACCAGGTGTGGTAGCCCACAGCTGTAACTCAGGAGGTGGAGAAAGCAGGATCAGAAATTCAAGGTCCTCCTCAGCATGGAGGCTACATGAGACACTGCCTCAAAAAACAAACAAGAAACTAATTAATTTAAAAAAAAAAGAAGCCAAAGCAAACAAACAGGCTGTGGAGACAGCTGTGTTAAACCCAAGGTGCCATTTTCCAGCTGTACACCATAGGGAAGCTGCTCAGTCTCTCTAGGTCTGAGTTTCTTCCTAATTAGATGCAGAATTGTTAGGGTCCTCTGTTATGCAAAGTAGAAGTCTCTTCATGTCCGGATAGCTCACGAGCTCGGAAACCATGTGCTGCAGATTCCTTTTCATAGCAGAGTGCCTTCCTGGCATCCTCCCTGACTCTTCTTTTAAAGTGCTC